GACTCCCGAGAGCTTTGTAACAACGATTCAATCTTGATCAGTGTATTTCTTCCAGATTTTCAAGTTCAATGGCCCGGAGTTCGTTCCAGGGTCTCAGGCTCCGGATTATGCTCCCCGCCCCCGTCACGAAGAGAGGAGGCTGTCCAAGCAGCAGCTCTGGTCCCACAGCACTCTGTGCCCCAGGCTCAGGAATTACTTTTTACTTCCCAGGAGCCGGCTGGACAGTGGTTCAGAGTCAGCCCTGCCGTCAGACCGCCTGGGTCTCTCTCCCGGTCCCAGCCTGAGACTCAGAACCTCGGTCTCCACCTCTGTAAAGCAGGCAGAACAAGAGCCACCTCCCAGGACTGCCACGAGGCTCACAGAAGGCACTGTGAACTCCAGAGCCTGATCTCGGGGAAGTTCCCACACACCAAACCTCTGCCTTCCTTCCAACCTCGGCTTCACCAGCCCCAGTGAGAACGTTTATAAACACGGGCTCCAGGTCTGAGCACGGGCACCTCAGCTCTCCCAGGAGCCAACCAGCATCCACAACCCTCTGTGTTTCCATCTTAACCACCTGGAGCTCAGGGGTCTGGGACAGTGGCTCTAAAGCGGGCAGCACCTGAGAACTGGTTAGAAGTGCAGATGCCCAGGCTGCCTGCCACAAGGCTGCCCTCACCCTCTCTGGGGGTCTGAGAGGCCCGAGGTCTCCAGAGTCGTGGGGCGTTTGCCCTGCTAGTGCTCAGTGCCGGGTGCTTGAAGACATGGCTCTGTACTGCCGTCGTCCTCGGAGACACGCTGCGAGTGGGCAGGGAGCGCTCCACAGTGAAGGCTGGGATCAATTAAAAACCCAATGGAGAGAACAAGTGCCGTGTGTCTGCGGGCTGACTGGTTCGATGGCAGGAATGACCCTGACAGCACTGAACTGTTTAGGGTCTGAGGTACAAGGCCTGGGTGGCAGAGCACGGCGCCCGGCACAATGAAAAGATCAGCAGAAATTTAAAAAAAAAATGGATGTGGGGCCACAGGGCTCCGTGTTAGCAGGCTGCTCGTGGGCTCTGTGGTCACTTGGAGAACCCTGGGGTTCTGTGTGTGCACCATTCCAGGGCTCGACGGGAAACGGATGTTTCTACAGGTACAAGGCTCACGGGACGCTGCAAAGCCTGCAGGCTTTGGCCCTTGAGACAAGAGAGGGCAGGCAGTTCTGCACGGAATGGGAGGGGCAGACTAACCCAGCAGCTCTCCTACAGAGGACCCCGCCTGGCCCACAAAGACAGCCCTCATAGGAAGTGCACCAGCAAGGGGGAGAAGCTCAGGTCTTAAATCTTTGAAGGACCAAATCACATTCCTACTTAGAAAATTAAAATCCAGGCACTAACTCAGATGGACCAAGAAACAGAGCTATGACGGTCGCTCACCATCAAATACGTCCGTGTCCACACCTGATGCTGTTAAAAATTCAGCATTTAATGCAGTTAACTCACACCCTGCCCCCGGAGACTCCAGTTCATGTGATCAGGGTGTAGCCCATTTTAACAAGCTCCCCGAGGGCTACTGAGGCAGATGGTCTGGGGACCACACAGTCATTTGTCATTCCCAGAGAAGAAGCAGAATCAAGAGCCGTTCTAAGCCGCCACATAAACTTCACAAACACTGCTGGGGGAAACGCAGCCTGGAACCAAAACAGCACCCACTGGAGCCCAGATTTAGCACTTGTTCCCCTGGAGCAGATCAGGGGAGTCAGCAGTCGGCGGGAGCACTATTACATAAGCTGCCGTCTGCAGGCAGGACCTCGGCTCCCCAAGGGAGTTACCACACATGAAAGCAATAGCCCACCCCAGAGCACACAACATGCCAGGGCAGCAGGCAGCGCGGAGCCGCCTCTAGTGCCACAGACCCCGTGCCCCCTGGGCCACTGGGAACCAGATCCCTGGGCCAGGGCCAGGAAGGTGGGGTTAGGCCAGGGGTTAGAAGGAGGTCATTCAGGGATCCACCTAGGCATGGACATTGCCTTCATCAAAGCTTCCCTCTGGATGAAAATCTAAGTGGAGCTATGGTTTGTTTCAATATACCTCTAACTCTTTGATAGAAAGTTCTAGAACCACAGCACCACCTTTATTATGAGTCTTGTCCAAGAACATCTAACTGCTCTTTGCATCTACCCTTCCATCTCTAGCCAGGATTCCCAGAATTTACCTCTCCCCAGTCCCCCAAGACCTGGATAAAAAGGCAGTTCTAACTAGAGTGTTAAAGTGTGTGACATACATGTTACTCCTCCCGTGGGGTTAGCCTCAGGTGCATTCTCAACATGGAACCACAGGCAGCCACTCCAACCTACTGAAGAGTAGGGTGTAAGTTTCAGAGAGAGAAGTCCGTACCTACCTTTCTATTATGCTATGCCAGTACTGAGCATAGTGACTAATACTGAGGAAGTGTTCAAAAATCAGTATTAAATCAAATTAAATTGATGCCTGAAGTGAAACTTCCTTGCCACCCAATTTTGCCACAGAGGATGTCTCAGGATTCAACAGTCACTGGGCACCTATTAAAAGTCCACCTCACGGGGCACAGTGGTGCATGCCTATAATCCCAGTGGCTGGGGAGGCTGAGGCAGGAGGATCGTAAGTTCAAAGCCAGCCTCAGCAAAAGCAAGGCACTAATAAAATACAAAATAGGGCCGGGGATGTGGCTCAGTGGTCGAGTGCCCCTGAGTTCGATTCCCAGTACCCCCCACCAAAAGTCCATCTCATCTCCCGGGCTCCATCCCCGACTCGTCCTCAGGCACTCTGCGATCTGTGTTTCTCATAGCTGCCAGGCCATCTAACATACATGGAATCTGAGACCGTGGTCTCGACCATTTGGGAGGATCTCATGGGCATCAGTACCACGGGATGCAGTAAGTAAAAGACCCTTTCAGAGCAGCCGAAACAGCACACAGAGAGGTGGGGAGCTTCCTCTTCTCCACCAGGCTTGGGCCCATGGGGTGGAGAACCCAAGAGACCAGGGATGAGGGAGGTCTCACGAGGTCTCATTCTGAGTTGGCCAGGCTCCCATGGGTCTCACCAGGCCAGGCTCTGCCTTGTTCTCCTGGTCACGGTACCCTGCCCATTGTCAGATCACGGACCAGGTCAGCATCAGTGAGACCCAAGGATGGAGAATAAATGGCTAGTGGCTCCGCCCACTTTGGGAGAGGGGCAGAGGACGAGAAGCTACCTTTTGCTCTCCCTCATACCGTACGCTGGCAGCTGGTCAGCAAACTGCCCTCCCTCAGCCTTCTCCCTACTCTTGGGGCAGCTGTGTTCTGCGCAGGTCAGGGGCTGCCAAGAGCCAGGGTGCTGGGGATCCTGCCCAGCTCCTGCGCCTGCACCCGCAGAGCCTCGGAAACTCCCCTGGCCACCCTTCCTGCAACAGGGAGCTCCGACTGCTGGCAGCTGTCACGGGGAACATCAAACCTGGGTGTTTATGCCAAGCCTCATTTACACAAGCCCACTTCTCCCCAAGAGATGAATGTTTAAAACAAACAGCTCTTACATATGTTAGCAGGCACAGTCACATCAGCATGAGGGATCCCCAAGCGGAAATATGAGTCAGTCTGGGACAAAGTCAGCTAAATAAATCCTGTTTGGGTGAAATTTCTCTCTCTGGACAAAGATGAACCTCAAAGCGATCGCTCCGATTCCCCAACAAGACTCCCTGAACAGCACACTCTGCAGCACAGCCCGCTGCTGCAAACCCTCCAACTCTAGTCACATCACTGCCCTGACAGGCATCTGCCTTGCCGTCCCCTCCAGCAGTGCCACCTGCATCTTGGCATCCCTGTTACCACTCTGGTTCCACTCTGAGCAGGGCATCTGATGGCCCTGCTCTGATGGGCACAGACTGGCCATGACACACAGAATCTCCTGCCATCCCAAGACCTAGGGCTTTGACAGCCAAGGAGAAAACAGCCAGCAGGTAGACAAGGTGTCTGAGGGGTGAGGGTGTGGGCATAACGGCTTCCCAGAAAAACGCAGGCCACTAAGGACTCCGTCAAGGAGCAATCTGACTAGTAAGGAAATGTCAGGTTTGGGAGACTGAATTCCCCGGCCATTGCCTTCTTTTTCTTTAATTTTGCCTTTGACGGAGCAGAAGGGAGCAATTCCTAACCCAACCTAGTGTTGCTCCGGGATGGAGCAAGAAGGCGCCAGCCAGCGCAACCAGCACAGGGCCTCAGGGCAGCATGTGGGGCCTGCTGTGGTCTGCACGCTGTGGCCCCCACTCACATGCTGAAACCTAACCCCAGTGCAACACATCTAGAAGGGGGCCTTAAGAGGTGAGCCGGCCGCCAGGGCTCTGCTACGGTGACTGGGATTAGTGCCCTTGGAAAAGGCTGAGGGAGCTTAGCCACACTGCTAGAAGGCGCCATCTCCACCAGCGCCCCAATCTCAGACTTCCCAGGCTCCAGAACTTGGGAACAGATTTCTGTTGTTTATAAATTTTCCTGAATGGCTAGGACCTAGCACAGAAATGAGACTAATCACCTACCTAATAACACTGAGAGGAAGAAGCTCCAGGTGACACACTGGCTTGCTGAACTCCACATTCAAATGGGTCTAAGAAAGAAGAGCAGCCCCAGCCCAGGCCCCTCCCGGGCTACACTGCCAGGCCCTGGTGAGGGTGCAAGCATGGCCTCTGCCTGGGGCCAGACCTCTGGGGACACAAGACCTGGGTCCCGGGTTGTGGGGACTCTGCACTGCCAGCAGGGACACGGATGTAGATGTTGCCCTGCAGCACAGTCAGGAATCGACAGTTCATTCCAAGCCTCGGCAGAGCCACAGCCAGGCCTGGCCTCCCCAGCGTAAAGCTGTCTGTCGCCAGGTGGGCAGGCAGCCACGCCTGTGGGGCCCCAGGTGAGAGGAGGGAGAAGCACAGTGGCCAAGAGTCAAGGATGGGCTCTTGGTGTTTCCCTAGGCTGCAGCGAAACCCAAGCAAAACCCTCCACCCAGGCGGGCGCCGAACCCAAGAGAAAGTAAAGCACCCACCGAGCCCGTTCTCCACCAGCACGGAGTGGGTCCCGTCGCAGTCCACAGCATCCTGCTCTCCAACCGGGTCATCCAAATCCACATCAGGCTGAAGGGACCCGTTCCCAAAGTGCCTCTCGTCCTTCTCGGAGCCACCGTCCCCGTCCCCGTTCTCCAGGCCGTTCTGAGCCTTCTTCAGGGGCATGATTTGCAAGCCACTAGGGGTAGTCCGGTAGGACACGGTCTTGGCGGCCCTGTCGCCCCCCGGCCCGGGGGACTTGCCTGCACACCCTTTCTTGGGCTTGGCCAGCGGAGGGTTGATGCGCTTCCGCTTGTGCGAGGCCGCCTTGCTCTTGCCGGGCTCTGCGGGCCGCGGGGCCAGCTTGTCGCCAGGGCCCCGGCTGTCGCGCAGGAGCTTGCCGGCACCCGGCTGCTTCCCGGCCTTGGCGCGCTTGTCCCGGGGCACGGGCAGCCCGTTGAACTCGTCGATGAACTCCTCGCAGTGCAGCAGGTGGTGCTCGGGCTCCCAGGTGTCCTCGGCGCTGCCATAGCCTTTCCATCGGATGAGGTACTCCCACTTGCCCTTCTTGTTCTTCCTCTTGTCCACGATCCTTTCCACCTGGCACAGAGAGTGGAGAAAGAGAGAAGAGGGTCAGTGGCCGGACCAGGCCGCCCTGGCAGGGGTCACAGGCCTCTGGTGTGAGCAGGAAGGCAGGCTGACCTCAGGAGGTCACCGGGAAATCCCAGACACCCAGGTCACTCCCCAGCGTGGCTCAGGAAGCCGCCAGGCTGGGGCAACTGCACCCGCCCTTGGTGGCACCCGCCCTGTAGAATCGCTTGAGAGATTTTTGTTCTTTTCGGCACAGCAAGTGGACTCGGGCTTTTAAAGACCAATTTGGAGTGGGCGTGTCATCCTTACTTACACTAATAACATTTATTAAGCAATCACACGGACAGTATATGCTAATTTACTTATAATTATATTGACCATCAGTGGCATTCCCTGGACACTCTGAGGTGGACACTGTCCCAGGGCTTGGAGTCCACTCTCCCTTCTCATTTCCCCAGGGAAGCAACCCAATGAGGTGATCCCCCATGTTGCACCAAGGGCCCACAGAAATCATGCAGCTGAACCAAGTTTCAAAGCTGGCAGGGGCAGAGCAAGGTTCTGAGGCTGTCATCCCAGACCTACTCTCCAGTCACTAGGCTAGACCAAGTCTTTCAACAGCAAGAGGCCTCTGCACTGACCAACAGGGACTTGGGTTGACAATACCAGCTGTCCCCATACAGCCCCCCATCTGGTTGCAACATGGGGTACAGCTAGGAGGCAGAGATGGGTGACATCTGCTGAGAGCCTACAGTGTGCCTGGTAACCCCAGGGCATGCACTATTGTTCCCACTGGACAGATGAGGAGACTGAGGCAACCTGCCTGGGATGCACAGCTGCCTTCGAGGCACAGTGGTGATGTGGTGGAGGGGGTTCTAAGCCACATGGGACAATCAACATGTCTTTAAAGAACCTCTCCAAGGGAAATGCCAGTCTAATGCCATAGCCGGTGCAGCCCTGCATGGGGTATCTGAGAGCTCATTTACTATTCTTTCAACCTGCTACAGATTTGGAACTTTTTAAATTAAAAAAAAATGTGGAAAATTCCCAATGTTCTAACCCCAAAATGCTAAATTTGTATGAGAAAGCAAATAATCATATTCAATAGTGTATTTCAATGTCCATATAATATACCTTTAAAGAATGGAATTTTGATGTAATTAAGTAACAAGTAAGGAAAAGGCCCTTGAAACTCAAGAAAAGAAAATATCACAGAGGGAGCGGTTCAGCAACGTTGTGGTTGATGGAGGCGAGTAGTAGGTGCACAGGGGTCATGATGTGACTGTGTTTGCACGTTAGAATTGCCATGAAGCGGCCTTGCCTCACCAGTGGTTTCTGTACAGCACAGGCTATGCAGAATAATTAAAAAGCTTTTTCTGTTTTGCACTTAATAAATATGGAAACAGCGAGGCCGAGCTTCCCCTCCACAGCACTGCCTCTCACGACTGTAATTGTTTCCTTAATTGATTTATCTCCACTTAAATTGGCCTATATCTATAAAAGTTTCTCTCCTTGTAAAATGCTCTGTTAGCATCTGTTTTAGATTTATTGCACAATTCTTAGATGTAACACATGAACTCTATAACAGTTTTTTAAAGTAAAATCATGCCCAATTCATTCAACTTCCAACCTGTGGGTCAAGGAATGGAGTCGGTTGAGTATTTCTTTGTAATAGTGCTTCAGAAAGCTCAGAGTGTTTCTGGAAGAACTTGCAGTTTTGCTTATTTTGAGAACACTGTAAGGGGGAGACCCTCTGCGGCTTGACACAGGAGGAAAGTGAATCATGAGCCTGGCCTGCCTGTGATAGCAGCATCTCCAAGGACACTGCAGTGTCGAGAGCAAGCACGGGTATTTCTTGGGAGCTAAAGAATGTCCTGGCGTGGAGATCTCCAGCTTGTGACAGCATGTGCACAGCTCCTGAGGTGGAAGACTTCCTTTCCCAGATGAAGCAGAGGACCAAGTCAGACAAACAGCCACCCAAATGGGTAGAGTGGTGGGTGGGTGAGGGGGTGGGGAGGTGAATGATGGATGGGTGGACAGTGGGATGAAAGGGTGGCTAGGTGGATGATGGATGGATGGATGGATGGATAGTGGGCTCAAGAGTGGGTAGACAGGTGGGTACATGAATGGATGGGTAGATGAATGGATGGTAGTCACTTACCAAAGTGAGCTTAGTGTATTGAAGAACACAGGCTCTGGAGCAAGACTATCTGGTTAAACTCCCTGTTAAGCCTTATCATGTGTTCTTGAGCAAGTCTCAAACCTTTCTGGGCCTCAGATGACTCATACCAGGAGGAGGAAGTAACCCGCCTACTTCACAGGGTGGTTGTGGAGAACAGACAAATACGCGCTTTCACATTCCACAGTAAAGGTCACTTAATCTTGCTCAGCCTCTGTGACCACAACCTTGGTGTCCTCTGAAGACAGAAAGCTTCCCCGCCCTGCAAACATGACTTCTTCCGACAATCAACTCCTCCTGGGGAGGAGAGAGTCCGCCCACTTGGACATGCCCTTTGAGTGTAGAAGATGGCTACGCACAGCCGGGGTCAGCAAGGGTCTGAAGGGCTTCCTGTGGCCACACTGAGGGGGAACTTACTTTTGTTCCCTACAAATTACGGGAAACTTCACTTTATCCAGTGTCTGTCCACACAGCACTCTGTGTGGTGCAAGAAACCACTCCACCCAGTGTCCCTCATACACACTCCACTCAGTGTCCAGACACCACTCCATCCGAAAAACCAACCTCCAACCAACCAAAGTCATTTTCAGTTTTGAAAAACCAATGACTTTTTCTGAAAAACCAAAAAGCCCACAAGAAACTCCAAATACAGCTGGCTCCAGACATTCCACCAGACTTGTGTGTGTGTGTGTGTGTGTGTGTGTGTGTGCGCGCGCACGCATGCACGTGTGTGTGCAGTACTGGGGACTGAACCCAGGGCCTCACACATGATAGGCAATGCACCACACTGAGCTCCATCCCGAGCTGCTCCTCCATGGTCTTTGATCCCTGGCCTCTGGGGACCCAATCTCCTTTATGTCCCTGTGTTAGTTTTCTGACCTCTTGGCCTCTCGCCAGGAGTGTCTCCTGTAGAACCTGCACTGTAATCTGCCCTGTTGGTCACAAAGGCCTGAGCCACAGGACTGGACCCTGCCAGGAGGTCCTTTCCTCCTGGGAAGCTCCCCGAGCCTCTCCTGTCTCCTAACTCTGCACACTGCAGAGAGCGGAGACGTGGCCCCGTCTGGCAGCTCTCAACTGACCTTTATTCTTCTGTGATCCCAGCTAAACTGAGACTCTGATCTGCAGGTGGGAGCAGGGAGATTCTGATGAAATCATCACCAGTGCCACAGTGACGGTGAGTGGCCATCTCCTTAGGAATAGTAACAATGACAATCACATTGTATGGTATATGCCCAAGGCCCAGGAACCACGTTAATCACTTTCATGGGGTCAGCTTTCATCTTTGTGCCCAGGCTTTAGCTGGGCATTATCACCATTTGACAAGTGACGAAACTGGGGCTCAGAGAAAGTAGGTAACTTTCCCTCAATTACACAGCTAGTAGTTGGCTAAAAAAAGATCTGAACCCAAGTTGGTCTGACTCCAGCACTCCAGTTCCTCCACGTCCAGCCACGCCTCGCCTGTGGGAAGCATCAAAACCAGGTAGGGCCCGGCAACACACAGCAAGAGGCCTTGAAGAAGGAAAGCCGAGGCAGGAGGATCGCAAGTTCAAAGCCAACCTCAGCAACTTCACGAGGCCCTAAGCAACTTATTGAGACCCTGTCTCAAAATAAAACATAAAAAGGGCTGGGGATGTGGCTCAGTGGTTAAGTGCCCCTGGGTTCAATCCCTTTTACCAAGAAAAAAATAATGGCTTCAATACCCAAGATGCAAGGTGCTGCTGAGGGCAGCGAGGACCCACACAGACCAGCAGGGCTCGGGCAGCCCAGCGGGGTGCACGGCCCTCGAAAGACTGGACACAGAGCAAGATGCAGTGTTGGGCACAGAAAGAGCTCTGGTGGGAAAGAGAAGAGGGTCAGAAGGAACAGTGGCAGAGAAGACATGGCGTCCTCAGAGGGGACGGTCAGGAAGGCTCCTCTGAGGGCAGTTCAAACCGAGGCCAAGTCGGACACTTAGAGATGGAGAGACCCTGACCCCTGAGACTGGCAGACTGTGGGCGTGGACATCTTCCTTGATTTTTGTGGACCTTGCTTTGCTCTCAGAGGTCACTCGCCTCCTCCTCAGCCTTCCATTTTCTTTTTTTACAGAGGATGCACTGAGGCACCCCAAGGTTAAGGACCTTGGCCAGGCTTCCACCTCCGATGAGCATCACAGAGTTAAGAGCAAAACCACATTTTGGCTCCAAAGCCCACACTGTGGCCACACTCCACACAAGGCCACCAGCCCCACCTGACTGAGGCCAACGGCGGATCTGCAGCTTCTGAGTCTGCCCCTCAACTCCTGCCTAGTTCACAGATACCTGTGACACCTTTACCCATCCTGGGATTAGCCTTCTGAGCCTGAACCCCCAGAGGTCCCCAGCATGCCAGTGGGCGTCCCTCCCTCGTCACCACTCATCTTCCCTTTCCCAGCTCCCCAGGACTGGACCCAGGACAGTGCATGACGTTCCCCTAGCTCTAGGACACAGATTTCCCAGACCCGGAGGAGTCTCGCCCACAGCTGGGCTTGGCTTGGAGTTCCTGGTACACATCTTGGTCTCTGAGAGCAAAGCAAGGTCAACAAAAATAAAGGAAGATGTCCACGCCCACAGTCTGCCAGACGCACCCCAGAGTGGCCATCATCCCTGGACAAAAGCAGCTCCTGTCTCTGACTCCAGACCTCCACGGCCACATCCACGAGAATCTTGCCTTCTGGATCCTTTCAACATCCTGGGACAACTTCCTCGGGGTGCAAGCACACAGGCACCCATCACTGTCGCTCAGGATCTGAGGTCCTCGAGAAGGACAGAGACAGGGACAGCTCCAGAAGCAGCTGGTACAGGCCGAGGAAGGTCAC